AACTACAGTAACTGATCTATTGTGGGGATTCTACAGTCACTATGGTAACATGACAACTACAGTAACTGATCTGCTGTGGTGATTCTACAGTCGCTATGGTAACATGACAACTACAGTAACTGATCTGCTGTGGTGATTCTACAGTTGCTATGGTAACACAACCATAATAGTTGATCAGTTGTGGTGATTCTACAGTCGCTATGGTAACACAACCATAATAGTTGATCTGTTGTGGTGATTCTACAGTTTCTATGGTAACACAACCATAATAGTTGATCTGTTGTGGTGATTCTACAGTCGCTATGGTAACACAACTAAAATAGTTGATCAGTTGTGGTGATTCTACAGTTGCTATGGTAACACAACTAAAATAGTTGATCTGTTGTGGTGATTCTACAGTTGCTATGGTAACACAACCATAATAGTCATTGATCTGTTGTGGCCATTCTACAGTTGCTATGGTAACACAACCATAATAGTTGATCAGTTGTGGTGATTCTACAGTCGCTATGGTAACACAACTAAAATAGTTGATCAGTTGTGGTGATTCTACAGTTTCTATGGTAACACAACCATAATAGTTGATCTGTTGTGGTGATTCTACAGTCGCTATGGTAACACAACTAAAATAGTTGATCAGTTGTGGTGATTCTACAGTTGCTATGGTAACACAACCATAATAGTTGATCAGTTGTGGTGATTCTACAGTTGCTATGGTAACACAACCATAATAGTTGATCTGTTGTGGTGATTCTACAGTTTCTATGGTAACACAACCATAATAGTTGATCTGTTGTGGTGATTCTACAGTCGCTATGGTAACACAACTAAAATAGTTGATCAGTTGTGGTGATTCTACAGTTGCTATGGTAACACAACTAAAATAGTTGATCTGTTGTGGTGATTCTACAGTTTCTATGGTAACACAACCATAATAGTTGATCTGTTGTGGTGATTCTACAGTCGCTATGGTAACACAACTAAAATAGTTGATCAATTGTGGTGATTCTACAGTTGCTATGGTAACACAACAACTACAGTAATATAAAGAAATGAGCCAGTACTGTAGTTGTCTACAGCTGTAGGGTATATTATACTGCACTACAGCACAGTTTACCGTAGTAAGCACTACAGTACACTACAGAGTTTATTCCAGGTGCTCAGTTCAGCTGTAGACACTATCATATATACTCCAGTGTGTTCACTATAGTGTTTTATAATGTTCAGCCACAGGTGTGTGTGTATGTGTGTGTGTGTGTCTGCATCCCCTTCACCTGTCCGTCAACACATGAGTGTTTCATCTGTCACACACACATCACTCTTGCGTCAGATGAAGGCCGTCACACACACTCTGTCACACACACAGCTGGCAGCCCCATGTGCTAAAAGGCTCGGCAGCGGCCTGTCAATGCCCAGCGCCAGCTCACATGTCTGCTGTCAGTCTGCTGGACGCCTGTGTGTGTGTGTCACATCAGCTCACACACACACATATACATGCACACAAAAACACACTGTGTGTGAATGAGTGTGTATGGGTGTTTCCCAGTGCTGTGTTGCAGCTGGAAAGGCATCTGCTCTGTAAAACATATGCTTAAATAGTTGTTGGTTCATTCCGCTGTGGCGACCCCTGATGAACAAAGGGACTCAGCTGAAGGAGAATGAATGAGTGACACTCTTTAACCCAGTGGTCAGTCGTGTGTGTGTTTGACCCAGTGGTCAGTCGTGTGTGTGTTTGACCCGGTGTTTTCAACAACCCAGCATTATGTAGACTGTGCTTAGAGAAGCTGGTGAGGTCTGCAGTGAGAGACACGCTTGATGATTACTCCTCCATCAGTGTACAGCTGCTGGTTCTGAATACACACACACACACACACACACACACTCTCTCTGACCTCTCGGTGTGTGTCCGCAGTGTGTTTAACCTGTGTGTGTATGTAGGTCAGGCGTCTGTCTGTCAGTGCAGCGCTGCAGGCTGATCCTGCGTCAGTCCTGACAACACTAATGAAGCTCCGTCACCATCCTGACACACACACATAGATACACACCACAGTCAAGCCTGTCAGACACACAAATACACACACACTAGAGTCAGGCCCATCACACACATACACATACACACACACACACACACACACACACACACACACACACACACACACACACACACACACACACACCACAGTCAGCCGGTTGATGTGTGTGTGTGTAGAGTTGTGTAAGGTAAGGCCGGTGCTGTCAGACAGTGTATCAGCGAGGGGTTCAGATTTCAGCAGATA